TAGCTCTCTCTTATTAACCCATTTCTATTATTCTATGTATTGCCACAGCCTCATGTCAGCAAAAGCCAGGCATACTCGTACATGACTAGGGAGACAGAAGGACATTGCACAAATTCTTGAAAGGCATTGCCTTTCTGGACAAAGGAGATTCCCCAAAGATACAATCATATGTAACAGTCCTACAAGACTTGAATCATTCTGTAACAACAATACAGTGAACCAGACTGTTTCCAGAGTTATTGGCCAAAGCAAAACAAAACATGTAAGTGCACCATGCTTCCTCTGCAAACAGAATGAAGAGCTGTGTATTGAAAGATCTGGATAAGTACTTGTATCCTGGAAAGAAGATAGGTTTAAATATGAGTAGCAATTAATCTGAAAATAGGCTTTATCATCCCAACAGAAATCTTAAAACTGCAAAACTAGTAGGGTAGTGGTGGCGCACACCTTTAATCCCAGCACTTGGGAGACAGAGGTAGAATGGATCTCTGTGAGTTTGAGGGCAGTCTGGTCTACAGAGAGAGTTCCAGGACAGCCAGGGCTACACAGAGAGACTGTTTCAAAAAACCAAAACCAACCAAATCAACCAATCAACCAACCAAACAACAACAACCAAAAAACAAAAACAAAAACAAAAAAACAAAAAAACCCAACCCAATAACAAAAAAAGAAAAGAAAAGAGAAAAGCCTAAACTATTGTGCTATTGGCTAGAAAAGGCCAACCGTTAATAACAGAACTGTCACTTACACCTGCTGAGAAACTGTTATATCAACCACTCCAGAGCAAGCCTCATGTTCAGGAGTAGTTGACCAACATAAAATGGACTCTACAGGTGTTTTTGTTTTTTTGATGTGTGTGTGTGTGTGTGTGTGTGTGTGTGTGTGTGTGTGTGTATGTGTGTGTGTGTGTGTGTTTATTTGGGTTTGTTTGGTGGGTGTGTGTGTGTGTGTGTGTGTGTGTGTGTGTGTGTGTGTGTTTATTTGGGTTTGTTTGGTGGGTTTTTTTCCTGTTTGGGTGTTGTTTTATTTTGTTTTCTTGGTTTGGGGGAAGTTTGTCATTATATTGGGTGGGCAGGGAGGGGAAGAAGATCTAGTAGGACTTATGGAAGGGAAGAATATAGTCAAAATAAATTTAAATTTAAAAATTGTTTTAAATAATAAAAATTAATAAAAAAGAAAATGAATTTACATTGAAAATTTTCCTCTAAAACTATAGTTACCTGTTGTGGTTTGAATGAGAATGATCCACTGAGGCTCATATGTGTGAATGCTTGGTTCCCAGTTGGTGGAGCTGTTTGGGAAGGATTAGGAGGTGTGGCTTTGTTGGAGGAGGTGTCCCACTGGGGCTGGGCTTTGAAGTTTCAAAAGCTTCCAACCATCCGCAGGGCTTTCTGCCTCCTTCTTGCAGCTTGAGATGTAAGCTCTCAGCTGTTCCTGCCACCATGCCTTCACTCCACCATCATGGACTCTAACCTTCTAGAACCATAAGCCCAATTAAACACTTCCTTTTACAAGTTGCCTTGGTTGTAGTGTTTTATCCCAGCAATAGAAATGTTCCCACGCACAATAAACTGCATGTATTCACAGTCCTAGAATGCTTTCTTCAGAGGGACAATGGTGTGCTCATGTCGCTCAGTTATCTTTTATGTGCACTTCTTCCCATGCGTCTCTGCATAAACCGGTGCCTTCCGTGTATTGAAGAGTAACTAACTGCAAGGGCTCTCGGGTTCTAGTCCCGCACTGTGACTCAGAACATTATATCCGGCTGAAAGTTTATGGTTAAGTGAACACTCTTCAAAGGCTGCAGAGAGAGGGTCTACCAGGACCATACAAAGATCAGCTTCCTGATTTGCCTGCTGTCATTAGAAAAGGACATCTCAACACTACGATCGGTCAACCTGTCCTCATGAGAACAGCTACTGACAGCTTTACAGAGATGATAATTTCATTTTTGAGGAAAATGATGGTGTAGATTTAATAGAATTGCTTAGAGGAATAAAAAATGTAATAATAAAATAAAGAAAATAAGCAACATTGTGAAATACAGCTAGATAGATTCTGGCTTCTAATTAACCAGTAAGTATCCCCTGCGTTCTCATTTGAAAATATAGCAAATAATTCATCAGCAAAAACTCAACTAAGTATGGCTTCCGTGCTAATGCTGGTAGATGGCAGAAGGCAGCAAAGCGTGTCTAAGGACAGTTCATCTGCTGTACACAGAAGAATCAGGGAAAGACAAAGAAGACAGCTTGACAGGTTGTTTTCAGGCATTCACTGCAGTCTTAAGGAACATCTACTACCCAAGAGGAGCCACACAAGGGACTGTGGAATCTCTCAAGCACAAGGCTGACTTTCCGAGGGCTGGGGTGCAAAGGTGATCTTTCATTTCAGTAATGTGTGCAGTATACCTAATGGCCACTAGATGGAGATCAGCTCACTCCACCAGAGTCTGGGAAAGCGGCGGCACCCAGGAGCTGAAGCAGGGCATCAAGAACTAGGCATCTCTCCCCACTACTTCTGTAAGAGGGATTTTTCCAATCTCCAAAATCAGGAGCAGAACCCTTCTGAGTAAAGACCCCACAAATAGGGTAGCTTGAGGGTTGACTAGGAAAGGAACTGTAGAAGACAAGTATGACCTCTTATTATTGGCATTGACTCCTATTTAGATTTGGCTGTACAATGTATTTGTGAATAACAAGAGTGGGCCTAAATAGAGTAGTCAGTACACTGCCTCATTATTTACCAAGAGCTTTGGCCAAAAGCTCAAACAATGGCAGACTGTTTGGATAATTCATTCTGGCCACTTAGCGTAACGACACATACTCACAATTTGTTTTTCTGTCTGAGTATCCAAGGATGCATGCTTAATATCAACTTGTACGGACCAAGGAATAGCAGAGGTAAAAGGAGCATGCAGACCAACATTTATTTTTCCAAATTAAAATGCCAGTTAATTCTGATTTATGTTACACTTATTACTAAGTTTGTCTTGTTTCAGCTATCTGAACTTTGAACTGAGGACATAAAGCTAAACATTTCTGAGAAAACATTTTGATTAGAGGAAGTTCAGCTAATAATATTTTGGTTATTCTTGAGATAATTTTGCTCATTTCTAGCTTAACTATTTAGCTTCAGTTGCCAGTGTCATTTTGTTAATACAAGTTAGAGCATGAAGGAAGATGTGAATTGTTGCACACTTGTTACAAACTAGGGAGCTGGAAAAGCAAAGATCTGCTATATATTCAGAAAAGCTCCCAGGTGGGGTGGGGAGTGATACGATTAAGACATAAATAAATAGGGGTTAATGTTTTCAAGAGTCAAGAACCACTTTTAAATTGGAAGTAAAGATTCTTTCAAAGTCTTTTAGAAAAAGGAATAAGCTTAATTTTCTGTCTTTTTTCCTTCTGTCCTTTTTTTGTTTTTTTGTTTTTTTTTTTTTAAGACAGGGTTTTTTGTTTTTCTTTTTTAGTAGCCCTGGCTGTCCTGGAACTCATTTTGTAGATCAGGCTGGCCTTGAACCCAGAGATCTATCTGCTTGTCTCTACCTTCAAAGTACTGAGACTAAAGGCTCCCTTTTCTTTCTCTTTTGGGCTTTCAAGACAGGGTTTTGCTTGCTATGGGTTGTCCTAGAACTCACTATCTAGTTCAAGCTAGTCTTGAATGCATGACTGTCCTACCTTGGCATCACAAGTGCTGAGGTTACAGCCATGCACCACCACACCCTCTAGACTACACATCTTGACCACAGGAGAAACATGGTCTTTGATCTCCACATTATATGAGAAGTTCAAAGAAAACATATTGGAAGTTCAAACACAATCATATTTACTGCTAGACACTAATGAAAATAGAAGAGCAAAAGTCCAAATAATTATTTAGAATAATTGTGAACAGAACCATAGGTCCCTAAATATCATTAAGCACAACAATCTGCTGCTACAATAGAGCCTCTTACTTGCTGACATAATTTTAAAGCGATTTCATTTGCTTTAACTTAATTACATTGATATATTTATCTCTTCAAAAGCATTGGAAGTCACTAGCCTATTTTGGTTTGAGATTTTTAAAACATTCCTGTAAGCTTTTAAAAATCTAAGAGGAAGATGTAGTAGTCATCTATAAATATACTTATATCTCTTTTAAGGAAAATCACATAAAATGGTAATTATTAGTCCATTATTGATGGAATAGTAAGTAGAAATGTCTTACCTTGTTGATGGCTGTTTGCACAGTGATGGGGCTGGTAGTAACCTACCCTTCTTATAATTAATTAATCAATCAATTAATTTTGGAGCCTATCTTTCTTTTTGCTACATAACAATGATATGTAACAAGAAAATATTTTTTTCTGAAGATTAGAATCAATTGCAAGTTGATCCTGTTAATTTATGCCATAGCATAAATGGGTCTGAAGCTTGCTTTGCTCCCCTAGTTAGTCCTAGACAGCAACAAGAATAGATGTTGAGCACTTCTTCATCTCGGCAGCTATGGGTTTCTTTACTTCCAGAAGGGCTGTCCTTGTGTCTCTCTCTCTCAGAGCTGCACCTACGCATGGTGCCTGCACTGTCTGCAGATAGGTGTGTACAAACTATTGGTGGTACATTTGGCTGACCTCCAGTCTAGAGCTTCGGGTCCTGGGGGAATCTGCTCTACATGACATCCCTAGTGTTTTTCTTTCCCAGGCAGCATGCACAGCCGCCAGCCATCATGATGATACAAGGAAGAAAAGATGCAGAAAACCAGAGATGCTCCTGGCTAAGAAGTACAAGTTGATTATATTTGTATGTTGTGACGTTGGGAGACGATACATTTAAACATTGGTAGGGAACTAAGATAGTCTTACTCAGTCACTCTCAAGATGGATAGATTGTCTTCTTCTATTAAGAGTCTAAAAATAATTTTTGCCACTTAAGCAGCTATTGGAGTGGCTAAGCACGAAGTTTCCTTAATGGTGGCATGTAAAACTAAACTGTGAAGAGAAAGGTCAATTCAAGAGATACCTGCACAGGTTTGTCGCTGTCTTGTCCAATCATGTTTCTCCACTCCATGAGCGATTGCTGCAGACGATCAAGTCCAGTTTCCCAAAGCCTGACACGCCCTCCCATGTCAACAGTCACGATGCCGCTTTTGTCCCACTCGGCCAGCAGAGCATCTGTGTCTGAGATAGCAGATATCCACGCGGTGTATGGTGAGAGAGACTCTGCACTGAAAAAGGAGGCCAAAGAAAAGATTGGAAACCATGCAAAGCAGGAGGGTGACACCCGAACATGAGCAATACTACCCCCACACCCCGGAAGTATGTTCCTTTAGCTTTGGTGAGCTGCGCCTGATCCTCTCCCTCTCTCCCATGCAGGGTTGTTTTATGTCTGCTCTTAACCATCTCACAGCACAAGAAAACTCCAAGGATATGTGCAATGAGGGAAGGAGAATGAACTCAGTTTACAGGCTGAGGGGTGGCTCAGAGGTTACAGCACTTGCTGTGCAAATGTGGGGACAGGTGGGACTTCAGTGAGTTGGGGTGGCAGCCTGCCTGTCATTCCAGCTGCAGAGGATATGTGAGTACAAGGAGGGCTGCAGGGCTTAGCAGTAGAGCATTCCATGTTCAACCCCCCAGCACCACAAAATAAAAACCTAACCAGATTCAAATATATGATACAAAAACTTGAAAAAAAATCATTCATTTTGACTCTGTAATTATGCAACTTTACCATGTGTTTTATAATTTGAAGTTAGCTATTGTGGTGGTTTGCATGACAATGGCCCTATAGGCTGACATGTTCGAATGCTTGGTCCCAGTTAGAGGAACTCTTTGTCAAGGATTAGGAGGTATGGTCTTGTTGGAGGAGGTGTGCCACTTTGAGGTTTCAAAGCCCAAGCCAAGCCCGGTCTCACTCTCTCTTTTGCCTCCTGCCTGTAGATCAGGAGTTAGTTCTCAGCTAATGCTTCAGTGCCACGCCTGCATGCCACCATGCTCTCTGCCATGGTGGTCATAGACTAACCCTGTAAAACTGTAAGCAAGTCCCCACTTAAATGCTTCCTTTCAAAAGCTGCCTAGGTCATGGTGTTTCATCACAGCAATAACACAGTAATTAATAAGGTGTCATGTAGGACATCACTGATATTCAGGGGAAATTTAACTATCACACACACACACACAATAACACACACACACACACACACACACAATAACACACACACACACCAACCAACCACTACCTTAAGTTTAGATGATTCATTCCTCTCTAATGTGCGCCAAATATAGCACTGGCCAACTTCAACAGAAAGTCAGGATGTAAGGACAATGATCTAAATCATGTGTCATGTGAAATGTTGCAAGTGTAAAATGTGTACTGAGATTTGAAAGACCTAGAAGAAAATGTATTTTTTTATTTTGAGACAGTCTCACTATGTACCCCTGGCTGTACTGAAACATACAGAGATCCACCTGCCTCTCTTTCCTGAGTGCTGGGATTAAAGTCATACTCTATCATGTCTAGCCTACATTAAAATTTTTATACTGAGAATATCTCAAAATGATATTGGTTTAAATAAAATATATCATTATTTTTACCTGGTTCTTTCTCTTTCTCTCTCTCTGGTAATGGAGAACAAACCCTGGGCATCGTACACTGCTGGGCAATACTCTACCTCTGAGTACATTCCCAACCCCCCTTTCATGTTCTTTATGTGGCCCTAAGAATAATACTTGGGTGGGTTGCACTGTGATTCAGTCTAAAGGAACGAGTTGTGTGCACTTCAGGCATTTGCTGTGTGTGCACTCAGCTGCCCTTCCAGGAGTTCCTTTCCTGGCCAGGAGAATAAGTAGCTAATACAAAATATAAAGAACACAGATACAAACAGCATAAGAGAAAGAAACATTGGGAAATGACCAATGCTTTAGAAATGCTAACAGTAATGTTGGGTTTTGACAATGTGACACAGACCTAGACATATTTGGGAAGAGAAACCTTAACTGAGAAAAAGATGTCTATATGCAAATCTGTAGGGCATTTTGTTGATTCATGACTGATATGGGGAGGGGTAAGCCATTGTGGGTGATGCCTCCCCTGGGTAGGCGGTTCTGGGTTCTATACAGAAGTAGGTTGAGCAAGTGACAAGGAGCAAGCCATAAGCAGCATTCCCTCATGGATTCTGCTTCAGCTCCTGCTTCCAGGTTCCTGCCCTGACCTCCCCCAGTGACAGTGTGGGCCTGAGAATCCTGAGATTTGCTTTTGGGTTTGGTGTTTATCACAGCAATACAAACCCTAACTAAGATACCATAAGATGTTCTTTGCTTTGACTCTTGAATTAATTGTATATTTTGAGGAATATATGACTAGAAGGGAATAAGATATGTCCTTAAATGATGACTAAAAGGCATCTCCCACAAAGTCAACATACTAAGGTATTCTAAGAAGCCATATGTGCTAGAGAAAGTAAATTTACCTCTCGGAGTAATGATTTCATTTTCCATAGCTTTAAGGTCTGATTAAAGGTCATGAGAAATGAAGCCATTGCTGAGGGCTCTCTCTCTCTCTCTCTCTCTCTCTCTCTCTCTCTCTCTCTCTGGGGCTTGCAGGAGGGTGAGGAGGCATGCCCTGGTGCTGTCCTGGGTAGCCTACAGGTTCTGCTGGGCATGGCCTCCAGCTAATACTAGACAGTTCTCCAGGGTTCTTTGACTGGGACTTCAGGCAAGGCTCTACCCACTGTGCGAGCTGTGAAGGGTTCAGTCACATGTGACAAGGCAGAACAGAGGAGGAAATGTGATCTTAATCTAGATTAAAATAGAGTGAAAAGATTAACAGTGATTCTCAACCAGTAGGTCAAGACCTCAAGGGCTACCCTATCAGATATTTACATTAGGATTCATAGCAGTAGCAAAATTACAGTTATGAATCGGCAGTGAAATAATTTTATGGTTGGGGTCACCCCAGCATGAGGAACATAGTAAAGGGTTGCAGCAGTGGGAGGGTTGAGAACCACTAGGTTAGAAGGAGGTGGCTTTCGGTTGGTGGTAAACCAAAGACAAAAGAACATAGTCACAGCAGCCTCAGCCAGAAAACAGGAGACTGGGCACGGCCTCAGGGCTGCAGCAAGCACATCGATGTTCTCACAGCACAGAGGAGTCTCCACTGCTTAGACCACACGCTTCCCTGCTTTAAAGGCTTTGCTGCCATTGCTGGACAATAAGGGCTACCCTAAATCCCTGGGAATTGTTCAACTACAAGACTGACATGACTACAAATGTATAGAACCAACTTTAGAAACAATGTAATATTAATGTTATTTAAATGCCTTGGACATCTTGACTAGTCTATTCCAGGAAACCAGAACAGTTAATATCAAAATTAAAATTTCTATAATACTAACAGTGTTGTTCCTGGTACAGAAAGTGAAAATGAGAACAGACCACTCAAAGGAGAGCCGGCCAGAGCCGAGGGACTCACGCCTGCACACTGTATTTAAAAACATTTGAATGCTTTTCCAAACAGAAGATAAAAATGTCATTAACACATGCAGAAGAATGGTGAGATACAAACCAACTGTAAGTAGAGGAGGAAAGAACTTGCTACTTCGAGAAGCAGGAACCATGCATCTATTCAGAGCACACAGGAAGAACTCATTCGTTTCCATACAACAAACACAGTAAGAAAAGAAGTGACATGGATTACCTGGGGACAGGGATGTATCGGAGTTTCTTTGCTTGGAGATCAGTAACCTCTATGTAGCCAGCTGTCTGTGGTGGGGTAACACCTGCAAACCAGTCATGACACAAGGCAAGTGTTAAAGGGGTGCTTATACCAAAATGGCCCCAAGAATGCTTGAATGCTGCTAACAGAGAAGTAAATTCTCAGGAGAAGAGAGTGGAACTCTGGGAACCACTTGGCAAGGAACTGGTCATGTCTAGACAGTGAAAGGCGCAGGGTAGCAGCAGAAAGCAATATGAGGTCTCTCCAACCCTGGGGTTGGCCTTTTAGCAGATTCCAGAACTTGATGAACACTCTTCCTTGGCCCAAGTGTCACCATCACCCTCAAAACACTGGCTGCCCCACTGTGTACAGGAATTCCATTTATTTTGGGTGGTACTCTGACAGCACCAACTCTGTCTGCCTCCAGCTCAAGTGATGTGGCAGCTGAAGCTGAGAGCTACTATAACCATGGGACTTAAGGCAACTGAGCTAGAGAACAGGCATCCAAAAGGAAGCCCTCCAGATCCTAAAACTTATGCTCAACCTACTGTTCCACACAGATCCTGCCTGACAGCCCAAGTGAACAAAGCCTTGGCCATTAAGACATCCCAGAGCAAAATGAAAACAACACTCACCTGTACTAAACCAGACTAAAACAACACATATGTTTTTAAAGATTTCTGTGTTTGTGTCTAACTACATGTCTAACACCTATTTTTCTCATCTTCCATCACTTTTATTACAGTTTGGATTAAAATGAAATGCCCAGGATGTCCATACTGCGTGCACTGAGTATGGTTCACAAAAAAATAGTTCTAGTGCATGTCTGCAGTTGAGAGACAAAAACCAAACCAAAACCAAAACCAACCAAATGAACAGGCTATCTAACAAACTCAGGTTGAAAGATTTTTCTAAAACCTGCAGTGCACCCCTATGTACTCAGCAGAGATGTGTGGGAGTTCACTTTGCAGTAGACATACTAAGCAGCAATGGGGTTCGGGGCTCACTCTTCAGGAGTACACACAGCATGAAGAGCAGTTTCTCCCTTTGCCTCTTTTCCTTTTTGAGCTATTGTGAACCTCTGGGGACTTGGGAAAAAAAAAATCCAGAGTGGGAATTGTAGCTCTGGAGTCAGGTGTGTGTGTGTGTGTGTGTGTGTGTGTGTGTGTGTGTGTGTGTGAGAGAGAGAGAGAGAGAGAGAGAGAGAGAGAGAGAGAGAGAGAGCATGAGAGGGGGGAGAGAGAGGGGGGTATATCAAAGACACCGAGGGCTAGGCTTGCTAGCCCTGTTCATTCCTGGAAAATGCCTCATAAGACCAGTCCTTCGAAGAATTCTTTATCATCCCTAGCACTTAGAGAGAGAGAGAGAGTGTGTGTGTGTGTGTGTGTGTGTGTGTGTGTGAACGCACGTGGGCAGGGTGGGTAGTGCAGGGGGCAGGGCTTGGGTAAAAGACTCCAGAGGAAGGGAGGATGCTGGGTAGGGAAGGGGGGGCAAGGAAAGGGATTAAATGCAATCTGCCCACCCAGCTGAACTAGTTGTTCCCAGGTGGCCATCTGCACAAGAGGCACATGCTTATTAAAAGTCACACTCTGCCTTGCACGTCCATGGAATACAGCCAATTTTTGATAAAGTTGTGTGCACCATATATCATGTCTGACATTTCTGCTGCTAACAACTAGCTGAAGTAAGGTGAATTTATATTTGGTCTATAAACATACATTTATAGACCAAGATTTTTTTTTCAAAAAAGGGTGAGTTATTGAAGCTAGAACTGCCTATCTAACTAACCTAAGCATCTTTGTTTGTCATTTATGGACATTTTTAAAAGCACATAGCCTAAGTTGAGTCACTGCTAACCACATTTTCAGATCGCTGTGAGAACAGCATGTCTACTTGTTTAAATCTTTTTTTCTATATCACTCTTTCTTTTTGTTCACTATGAAATTAATTCCACAGACAGAGGAGGAGAAAAAAGTAGTGATGGCTGTGTCCACTATTTAATAAGGAGAAAGCAACAATTGATACTGATATTAAGACATTTTCACGAATCGGCAAAGGGATTCCATGGTTGCACAGGTGGCAGCGTCACGGCCATAGTACTAACCACTTAAAAAGAATCAAGAGTAAAGTTTACTAATCTAAAAATAAACCAGAAGACAAAAATATTTACAGAGAGAGCCTGGTGGTTATCCTTGAATGGAATTCATGGGCGAATTAAGGAAGTGTAACTGTAGCCAGGTTTCTCTCCAAACTTAGCCTTATCCACCCATGTGTCCATCCTTAAGAGGATGGAGGCTCAGTACGTTTCCTCCGTGGTTATTGCCTAGGTGGATTTCAAAGATAGGTACAAACTGTATTTAGGGATTAGTCCACATACTATTAAGGGAAGTCACTGCTGCAGTGTTTATCACAGAGTTCCTACAGACAGTGGAGAGTTTATATGCACAGGGCCAAGGTTAGGGGCAGGAATAAAAACTGTCAGGTAAAACAACCAACAAAGTCTGCAAAGGCAAATGAGGTTACTTTACAAAATTCATGTCCTTTGGAAATGTAATTTGATGAGCACCCGCTGGCCACTAAGATTCAGGCTCTTCCATCTGTTTGCACGGATTAAAAGCGTTATGTGCTATAGTAAAGCGTTTCATTGAATGTTTTCCAGCAACCTTCTTTATGCACATGGATGTGTGTGAGCATGTTCATGTGAGCGCCCATGTATGCACGGACGTGTATACACATGTGGAGGTCAGAGGCCAACCTTGGGTATTGCTCCTCATGAGCCTGTCTACCGTGCTTTCTGAGAAAGGGTTTCTCATTGGCTAGGTTTCATCTGTTTGGCTAGGCTGACTGGCTAGAGAGCCCCAGGGTCCTGCCTTTCTCGACCTCCCTGGTGCTGGGATTACCAGCATGCCCACGGTGTGTGGCTTTTCTGCGTGGGTTCTGAAGACCCAACTAGGTCATCATGTTTGCACAGTAAGAGCTTTACTGGCTGACCCATCCTCCCCACGCTTCCAGTAGCCGCTTTGACGCTGACAGAACAGCAACCTCAGTAATTTCCCCCTTCACTGCACCAACAGACTCTCCATCTATGCATGGGAAACAGAATATTCTATTCACAACACCATGACTACAATGCCAAACAAGTGCAAACACTAAACATGAACTTGCAAAGAAACAATGACTAAACTGTGGCCCACAAAGCAGTAAAAGTAAAAGGGGAGCTTCAGATTGGCCATGGCAGTTTCTTAACTTGACCAAGGGAACCTACTGAGGTTCTTCCTTTTGAATCTCATCCAAATGGGTCCTGAATGGGCCCCAACTCAAGCTTCTGTGCTTTTCTCTTATGCCAATTTGCAAAAAGCAAACAAATAAACAAACACAAACCAACAACAATTAACTCAAAATGGACGGTAAATCTAAATAGACAACCCAAAGCTACAAAATTTCCCAGAGGAAAGAGGACATCTGCCCTTCATTACAATAGGAGAAAACATAGGAAGTGTATATCTGACACTGGACTTGTTTCCAGGATATATACAGAACACATAAAACCCTGGGCATACTTGAAAAAAAGACTGTCACTGGGTGGTAAAAAACAAACATTAAAAACATAATGAGGGTCAGACAGCTCAGTGGGTAAAGACATTTCCTGCCAAGCCTGAAAACCTGAATTCAATTTCCAGCACCCGTGTGGTGAAAGGCTTTCCAGAGCCATGTGGTGAAGGAAGAACAAATTCTGCAACTTGTCCCCTGATCTCCACATAAGGCACAGACATGCCTCCCTCCACACATCCACACCAAGGCACAGACACGCCTCCCTCCACACTCTAAACAAAGACACAATAATTTTAAAAGCCGGTATGAGAGTGAGCATCCGAGTACCACAAGGATGAAAACTGACAGCAGCAAGGACTAGCAAGGATGTGGAACAATTGGAGCTTTCATTTAATCCTGGGAGAAACGCAAATGGGCCTGGCCAGTTCAGATTGGCTTAGCAGTTTTACCATATGACATATATAAATGCCATTCTTGAGATTCACCCAAGAGAAAAACCTCTGCACAGATGTTCACAGAGGCCTTATTCATTACTTCATCAAACTGGAAATGACTAAGCATCTATCAGTTTGTGGTTGAGTGATAGCACACTCACACGATAGTGGTATAAACATACAACAGACTACTACACTCAAGGAGACACACTGCACTGGTAATGAATAGGTTAGATTTTTTGTCTACTTAATATATGCTTGGGTCACCTTGGAAGAGGGAACCCCAGTTGAGAAAATGCCTCTATCTGTTGGCCTCAAGAAATCCTTGAGGGCATTTTCTTGATTAATGATTGATGTGTAAGGTCCAGCTCACTATAAACAGTACCACTCCTGTTGTATACATAGGTGAGCAAGCCATGGGTGAGCAAGCCAGTAAGCCATACTTCCTCATGGCCTCTGCATCAGATCCCTGCCTTGGCTACCCTTCATGGTGGCCTATAAGCTGTAAGGTGAAAGAAATAAACCATTTCCTCCCCTAGCTGTTTTGGTCATGATGTTATATCACAGCAATAGAAAGCCAAACTACAACAGACACACAACATAAATGATTCTCAAATATACTACTAAGTAAAAAAGAAGCCAGATTCAAAAGACTACGTTTGTATGAACCCATTAGTACAGAATTCTGTTAAGGGCAAATCTGTAAGGGCAGAAATTGGATTAGTGGGGGCTGGAGGTAGCTGCAGGGGTTGACTACTGACACAGGATGGCTTGTGGGCCAGGGAGACTTTACTAATTGTGATGATGGCTAAGCAACTGTTTGTATTCCTCAAATGCATAAAACAACACAGTAAAAACAGTGACCTTAGTCAGAACAAATGCAAACATTGGAACTACCATTCTGATAAAGAATGGAGGGTAAAATATAAGAAGTAATTCTGATAGGGCCATGGCATCACTTGAGGTGTATCCTGGTGGGCTGTGGATGCTGGCATTAGAATATAACAAGTACTACTGAGCTTGTATCAAAGGGACAAGATGGATGAGGGAGGGTTATATACGGGTGAGGAGGGGGAGGGGTGTCAAGGTGAGTCCCGTGTTTCTGGTGGATGGAATGTCGAGCTGAATATTGTGCTATTAGAGAGTGTCTTGGGGTCCAAACCTCTGGTTCCAGTAACCAGGAGCTCCAGTCTGCATTGAATTGTGGATGCTAGTTGATTTGCTATTGAATCGCATGGCCTCAGTGGAAAATGCCTCCTAGTTTGCATCTCTACAGAACTAAGCATTTGAATAGGCCTGCACCAGGGCAGAGGGCTGGGTGTACTTGACAAGTGAGGACAGAGTGTTAGGAGGTATCTGGTGGGGACGGTAGAGAGAGATCTGCTGATAGGGTCCAGGAGGATGGAAGAGACACGGTCTCAGGGTCAGGGAAGCTCGGTTAGGAAACAGCCAGGAAGATGCTGAATAAAGAAGAGACTCCAGTTTTGCAGCATGGAACTGAGCTCTCTAAAGATGACAAGATGCCTGTGTCTGGTCTTTATCATTGTTGGGTTACTAGGAATTCCCTAGTCCACACTCCCCCACTCGGGCCGGACCTCGTGGCTTCTGTGGTCTGGGGCTGAGACATGCAGGGCCACGACAATGGAAGAACACTATGCTGTGTATAGAACACTGTGTAGTTCCTGGAATGTCCACCAAGCTCCTGTACTTCTCACTTGGCCCCTGTTTCCTGTCCTAATTCCTTCATTTCATTCACTCTCCAACACCATTCAGGAATCATTTAAATGTCATCAGTCCAGGCCATAAGCTTCTCCTGTGTTTATGTATCTATCACCCTGTGAACATTCCTACGGTAACACGTGCTGTGATGATCAGCAGCTGTTACCTCATCCAGTCGCCTCTTCTGTCATGCAAAGCGCTTTAAAGGCATGGTGATTATTTTGGAAGGAACAACTTCTAAGTATAATGCTTTAAACAGGACTTCCAAACTCGGAAACAGATACACTACACTTAGTCCTATAGCCACAAAGGCCACACTAATACAATGACTTGGGTACAGGATAACACAAGTACCTATCACTATGCAGTTGAGTGTTCTTCTAATTAATGGCTAAGATGAATGTCCGTACGGCCAGCAAGAAGAATTCTAGAACTGGTCCTGGGAGACCCTGGTACAAATCTGCACTCAGGCCACTAGTGGGTGATCCTGGCTCAGTTATGTTTTCTCCCTACACCAGAGCTTTCTCACAAACAAAAATAAAGAGCAAACTAACAATAAGGTAGAGTCTGAGGATGAATGGATTGACACACGGAATGATCGGTACTGAACTTTTTATGCAGTCATCAGTGTGAGGGGACTTGGAGGGAAGGCAGTGGCAGTCTGCATTTGGAGTCCCTACATGTGAGCTCTCTGCAGTCAGTCATGCAACACACAGACTGCAGTGTGAACAGGACTAGCTTTACCTGCAGAGCCCACAAGCAGAAACCATGTGGAGACGCCCACAAGCTTTCAACCTGCAGAGGAGTTTTTAGCCCACCCCACTTCTGTCAGGGTGTGTTATACCTGTGAGGAGAAAACAGCCCTGCCAAACTAAACATCGCCCTGCAAAGGCCAGCCACCTTTAGCCATCCTGGCAAGCTGAAATGGCTGCTCACCTTTTGGGAAGATGTCTTTCAGAGGGACTTCTCCGGCAGGTAGAATCCTGACCACCTGGTTAGTGTGCGTGAGAGTCACACAGTTCTTGTGCCTTGGGGTAGCATTTGTCCGTTTCCCGCCATAGATTCCTGTGTTGGTGACATTTGGTTTTTCCAAAGATGAAGGCCTCTTCCATGAATAAACTTCACTGGGTGACTAAAAAAATATAAAGAAAAAGAAAAAGAAAAAGGAAATGCTAAAATCACATCTCTTATAGTCATCACCATGCTTAGATTATTTTGCCATTTAACGTAGTGCCAAGGGCAACTTATGATTTATGGGGATAGAAATTAAGATAACACCCTTGAAGGGACCAGCTCCCCATTTCGGCAGCCATAACAGCTGAACACATGCTTGTCTGACCTTGTCCTAGTCACTAGAAAGTCAGATGCCTGCCTCGTGGCAAGGAACCAATCAGATGTTAGCTAGTGGTGCTATGCTTCACAGCTCTGGGTGTGCTTTACGGACAAGTGCACAGCAATGACGCATAGAGCATAGCAATCACCCTGGGAGGGCCTACGGGCCATAACAATCATTTGACCAATCAACACAGGGCAAGCCCTCCAAGCCTGGAGCCACACCAATCCTGAGCCTGTGCATACTCCTAGACACTCCCCTTACGCTGCCCTACAAGATCTCTATGCAGCCGGTTCGAGCTGTCTTTTGTAGACATCTGCCATGGTGGATGGATGAAAGACCCGACCTAACATGGGGTTAGCTCATTAAACAACAATAAAGCCTCATGCAGTTTGCATCAAGCTTTCGAATCTGCCTGGTGATTGGGGTGACTGCTGTCCTGGGCTGAGACTCTGGAGGCCTGAGCTTTCTGGGGGAGGGGGGTCTTATACTCTAATTTTTTTTTCAGAATATGAAAATTTATTACTATGTTTCCACTGTCAAAATTTAGGATCTTGGTCTCTCCTTCTTGTCTTTGTACAGGGCCAAAAGGGACACACTTGTAGGGAGCCGTCCCTGCATTCTCCATTACAAGATGGCGCCTGCATCCGGCAGGCACTGAATGTAAACAAGATTATTGCGCAGGCGCTGGGTAATTTTCCATTCCTTGATCTCTGCCTATTCCGTGGCGTCATATGGCCGGATGAGCTGCAGCCAATCATGGGGTGACACGTCCGAGGCGGCGGTTGCCAGCCTTTATTAGGGGACGGGATTCTTGGCTCGGGGTCTCCGCTCTGGGAAGCTTATGCTCTTTCACTCTCAAGATGCATTAAAGCTTGTCTGCAGAAGGATCCGAGTGTCCCGTGTATGATTTCTTGCTGGCGAGAAATACAGAGCGAGCGGGACACACACTGGCTACTTTAACAACCTTAAAGTGCACTCCAGGCATATCACCTACAGCATGACCTTTTCCACCAAACCCAGCAACCAGAACTTCATCATTTTCCTCGATGAAGTTCAAGCAGCCATCATTGGGCATGAAAGCTGTGATCTTCTTGTTGTTCTTGATGAGCTGAACCCTGACACACTTCCGGATAGCAGAATTTGGCTGTTTGGCCTCAACCCCTACTTTTTCCAGCATAATTCCCTTCACATGAGAGGCACCTCCGAAAGGATTGGCCTTCAGGGCTGTGCCCAAGTGGGCTTTCTTGTATTGTTTATCATGCCACTTCTGGCTGTGCCCCCCCCCCCGCCCCGCCCCCCTGACCTGGAAGCTTCCTGGCAGTACGGAGACCACAACACTTGCCCATCCTGCCGGCCTCCCTAATCTTTTTTTTAACAAGGCACAGGAGATGTGTGTTTTACCAATAACAGTAACTGCCTATGCAAGTAAAAAAATTTAAGTTATTTTTTATTTTTAAGTGGATTAAATTGAAAAGAGGAAATATAGCAATATAGTTACTTTAACAATTACATAATGGAGTGAGATCGATCAATGGGTGAGGCAGTTTCCAAGTCTGATGACCTGAGTTTGACCTCTGGGGCTCTCAGAGTATAAGGAAAGAACAGACTCTTGAAAGTTGTCCTGTGATGTCCACATGCTATAGGGCTATGGTGTATACATACACGTGCGTATACGCACTCTCTCTCTCGATGTAAATAATAAATAAAATCATAGTACTAACATCTATATCTCCACTATTTGCATAAAATAAAATATGCTGGGACTTTTTTAGCCCCTGGACTGTCCCTCCTGGTCACATGCCTCAGCTTTGTTCAGACTTAGCTCTTCTGGGATTTTGTGGGGTTTTCCCCTCATTGTTTTACTTAATGCATTTTTCCTTCCCAAGATTATAAGCTATCTTTGTCTTCTGTTTTCTCTAAAGGCTCTAAGGAGCTATGTTTGCAGAGAATTCATAAAGAATTTATTCCTCAAGGCCATGGTTATGTGGCCAGTCTTCTACCTCCATCAGTAGACTAATCTCCGAGGTCAATGCCCTTCTCCCTGCTTTGGTCTCAGCAGCCCACACTGGGATATACCCATTCCTCATGTCCTCACTTGGGGATTCCATTCCCAGGTCAGCTGTCCTTCATGGGGACACTGTACTCACCAGGCTTAACACCCAGGACATGGTGACCCCTTGTCCACCAGAGACATCCTTACCACCCCACTTAGATTGCCTTTGATACTTCACACTAGCTTACTGTTTAGAGATGTTAAGAAGTGGTTGCTGTCTTAGTGTTGAACTTTATAGATTGTTTTTGGTTTTTTGAGACAAAGTTTCTCTGTATAACTGGAACTTGCTCTGTAGATTAGGCTGGCCTTGAACTCATAGACATCTACCTGCCTCTACCTCTTGTGTGCTGGGATTAAAGGTGGCCACCACTACCACCCAGATTGAACTTTATGGATCTTAAATATTCTGGATACAAGCCTTGTGGTAGAGAGATAATTTGCCATACTTTCTCTTCGTCTATAGATGGTCTTACCATTCTTTTAACAGTGTCTTTTATAGGGCTGTTTTACACTTTGTGGCAGTATAATTATCAATTTTTTTCTTTTTGTTCCATGTCTAAGATAGTACTGTATTTGATTGTAGTGGCAGTAGGTATTCTGATCTTCTGTTCATGCTTGTTTTGAGGCAAAGTCTTGCTAGCACAGGCTAGTCTTGCAATTAGTTCTTCTGCCTCAACCTCCTGACTGCTGGTATAACAGGGGTACCACCACAGTTGCCTTCCTTACTCTTGATGGCAAAATTAATGCCCATTATGTTCATCATAGATTATATCTCTTGTAGACTTAAAAAATATCTACTTGCTATTAGGGTAAGAAAGTACATAAGTTTATAATAACTCATTGATTTTGGTAACTGCATAAAAAGCTAATAAGGAATGACATATCCTTTTGTATAGCTTTATGAAGAAACACAAAGACATTCACATACAAGCAGGGAGGCAGAGTGGTATAGTAAAGGATACAGGCTAGAGGGATAGCTAGTCACACCTGAGCTCAAGCCCTAGGTCCCTTATTACAATCTTTGTGGTAAGGAGGATGGGAAGTGTAATCTCTTCCTGTTTTCCCATGTGTAGAACCTTATTGAATTGTAGTAAAAATGAGTTATTCATATGAAAGGACTTGGAGTTGTACAGAGCATTACTGTATTGGCCTAAAAAGTGGACTTGCTGTGAACGATGAAACTGACCTTTCACTTAACATATTACCTGGGTATCTCCTCCACGGTGGTTAACAAATATCCACAGGATGGCTTTAATAAGGTTACTAACCTTTTAACCTATGAAGGATTCTTTAGGGTTAATATAAACAATAGCCTACAGTCAGCTTTCACCTTCTAGTCATTTTCATGGTAGCACTGTATTTTAACACTACTATCTTCAATCATAGTAAGGTGGTGAGATCAGTTTTTAGACAGTTCTACCTTCACAGAAAAGCTCTACTGCTGTTTTTCTACTTAAGCAGTTAAGTGTGGCAGAAAGCATACCAACATGGCTCTACCATTCCATCAAGGCTTCTGCAGACACCACACTGCAGCAGCATACTGCATTTTGAGTTACACAATGTAGGAGCAGATGTTTTTTTTTACTTGGCCATTGATAAAGCACATGGCAAAGTTCTAAGCCACACATTATCCACTCAGTTTTGGATTTCAAATATCTTATATCCCAAAGTATTCTCCATTTGTTAATTAAACTAAAAATTTGAAGCATGTTAAGATTGGTGCACCAAGTAGAACCCATATTTTTATCTTTAACTGATTCTATCAGCTCCCTTTGTGGAGCCACAGAGGGAATTACGTAAGAGCTACATATATTTTGGACTATGAGACTGCAACTTGTCCTGGAATAATCTTTCTATTTTATCCTCTACATCTCCACCAGGGGAAGATGGGTCATTTTCAATATGAATTCTAGAAGATGTGGTACTTTGATCAGTCTCAGCTGGTTCCTCTTGTCAGAGTCCATGAACACACATTAAGATGGTGTGGGGAGAAAGTCACCATTAGCATGTTAAGCTCCGGGTCATGTGACCTCCCATTTCCCTTACTGAATTACATCAAATCACATTTTAAACGCTACTTATGAGGGAGCTACGAGAATGAGAAGGGAAGAAGAGGAAGGATGCAGAGATCATGAGGGAGCAGAAAGGCTGAGTCAGGGGAAGGACAGAAGAAAGGATATGTGATAGGTAGGGTTTTAGTTGGGGGGGATGGTAGGGGAGGACAGGAGGGAGAAGGGAACTGGGATTGGCATGTAAAACAATCTTGTTTCTAATTCAAATAAAAAAAATCTGAAAAGAAAAAAAAACATTACTTATAAAGTAATGAAACTATATAGGTAGACAGTAGCTTTGGTGAGTGATGCCAAATGTAGACACAACTGAAAATGTTTGCAGGAAAAGCACTCTCAGTTACTGTTCAGACAGGCTCAGGTACTCTAGGCTCTGCTAAGAAGAAATGTCAGAAGTTGGTATTTACCATGAGATCTGGGAAGCCAACAACTACAGTAGCATAACTGTTTTCATCTGAGAGAACCCGGTTAGGAGAGGCAATCTTCTGACCCACAGCTGAACTTAGGTTTTCAGATGACAGTTGATCACTTGAGACTTTATGAGGTATGCAGAATTCTGTTTCTGAAAAATGTCAGACACACCCTTAGATATGATCCTGATATGTTTTAGGAATTATTATTTTTGTTATTCTTTTTTTTTTGCAAGATTTCATTCTTAACAACGCAGACCACAAAGAACAAAGTTTAAAGATTATGTTAAATCTTTTGTCTGAGAAAACAGTTCTAATCATCAAAGCATCTGCCCAAAGTGATCCCAAGCATTTCTGCAACCCAAGATGTGACAGCCATAAATATCCTCTTGAATCAAGTGCTCCCTGCACAAAAGCTGTGACACAGACCCAACCCAGGTTGGCAAACTGTGAGAAATGGAGCAGAAGTTCTGATGAGCTGACGGCTCATGGAGAAATAAAGGTGCTAACCCGGGCAAGACTTGGAACCCAACTGTCCTAAGTAGAAAACAAAACAAAACAAAAAATATTCAGCAGTTAAACAAATTTCACACAGAGTGGAAAGGTAGAAGACTTGATCTCCTACTTCTGCTGTAGTGCTAGGCCGTTTTGTTTGGTATAAGCATCACACAGGCTGAGGTTTCTGGTCTCCAATCAGTCTGGCAGGCAGTATATGTCCAAACACAGACACACAGACACACAGACACACACACACACACACAGCAGCAGCAGCAGCAGCAGCAAGCGAAGGGAAGGTAGCGTTTACCTTGTGTGACCCCAAATCCTGTGCTGGGGAGCTCTTCTTTCAACATATACAACTGGCAAGCCCCAGTGTCCTCGGAACCAATGTGTGCAGGCTTGGTCAAAAGATACTTCCTGTGAACAGACAAGAAGCCCAATTTAATTAAATCTAACTTAAGTTAAAACTTTTCTTTTTTTAACAATCATTAGGACAGACCAAGAGAAATCAGAATTTGTTTTTTGCTCTAAGCCTTTAAAAAGATAGCCAGAGCATAATTTTCACCTTAAACATTTCATTACGAATTACCAAAAACCTTTTCAACAATACTGTTAAGAGAAATAACAAATGATATCATAGCAAATACAATTCAAAACAAATCAAAAAAAAAAAAAAACAAAAAACAAACCATGAGCCAGGAGGTAGTGGTGCATGACTTTAATCTCAGCACTCAGGAGACAGAGGCAGATGGTTCTCTGAGTTCAAGTCCACCATAGGCTACATGAGATTGATCCTGTCTAAAAAAGAAACAGAGCTCACACAAAGATGATCTCAGACAGGAATTCAGTGTAGTCTAAGGTTTGGTGGAGACAGATGCAGTCTGGAGATGCAGTCTGAGGACAGGGTCACCCTTTCTGTCTGAGCATTGGTAGAGGTGAGAACTCTCTAGTGGCTGGCCATTTTGCTTTTCTGATCTTCAGCTTTAACCCCATTATCTGTCTCTGGGTTTTTATTACTAAGACCAATTAGAATTTGAGCTAATTTGAGCTCAATATGTGAATAGGAAAACACTAAACACAAGTGGTTTATATATAAAAGTCATCATTTTTATCATTAATTTTCAGGTCATACCCTGAGAATAGACACATAATATACTTTAATTTTTTTCCTCACTGTCTGTTCTTCTAAATCTCACTCTGCACAGAAACTTAAAAGCCAAGGGAGCCCATTTGGTCTCCTGCATACTTCCTGAGATAGTACACAGTACAGGTTTACCCACTGATTTGTTTTGTTTTCCACAAGAAGCCATTTGTCCTCTGCTACAAGGAAAACCGCCTTGAGGTTGATAGGAAGTGAGATGGTGTGAGTTAGTCCTTCTAAGACATCCAGGACCGTCAGGGTGTTCCTGAAAAAGAAGAAAATTTTATCTGAACAGAGACTATGAGGATGTGGCACAATCATGCTAAGATGTAACAAACGGCCCTAAAATAGATATCTTTTCAGACTAAGCAATCACAAAGAAACATGTGATTTTAGAAAACTGGTGTACAAAACTCTCAGTATGCCAGGGCAGGCAGGAGAAGAAACAATCGGAAGTGGCGTGTGCCACAGAGCAGGGCTGTGTTCCGTAACCACATCATCATATACCTGTTTCTCAACGTTCTACCATTTGTGAAGGGTTATTTTCAGAATACAATAGTATTTGGCTTGTTAGTTTTATACTAAACAAGTATAATTACAGCAGGAAACAGAAGGAACAAAGTAACAATCCCAGTTTAGAATCTCCTACAGTGAAACACTTACCCTGTTTGTTTGTAGAATACTAGCCAGTTTTTGTGTGAAAATTCTTTACACATTCTGTAAGTTTCCTGAAGAAGAAAACAAAGCAAATATCCACATCAATTAACCCTTAAGAATTCCTTTAATGTGTAATTCATGCAACTTTCAGAGAAGCCATTTATCAATGTCAAGACTTTCAGGGGAACATAGATTAAACTATATTTTAAAATATACCACACGTTTTGTGTTAAAGCTCTTTTAGCGTTTGGGGGTTTTGTTCTGCAGTACTGAGGCTTGGACTCATGGCCTTTTGCTTGGTGGGCAAGCAGTCTATCACTAAGGCACTAACACCTCTTTAGAGTAGTTTTTAAATAGTGCCAGATGGGACTGGAGAGATGGCTCAGTGGTTAAGAGCACTGGCTGCTGTTGCAGAGGACTTGAGTTCAGTTCCCAGCAACCACATATTGGCTCACAGCCACCTGTCACTCCAGGTCCTGGGGATCTGACACCGTCTCCTGGCCTCTGCACCAGGTACTCACATGACACACAGATACACATGTAGGCAAAACACCATACACATAACAACATAACAAAAAGAAACAAATCTTTAAAAGCAGTGCCAAATACTAGGTAAAAATAAATGTGCTAGTCATTGGTTAATTGTGGAATTCATATCATAATATAAGTGTAGAGGAAATACTTGGTTTCTTAGCTCTTAATTCAATTATGGCACTTGAAATACTTCCTCAGTCCTTGATGAATCAAATATGCTTATTTGCAAAGCACTGGATAAGCTTTATTTTCTATCTAAATGGTAGGAAAAAAATTTTCCTTGAGTTAGGGTACATGATTAAGTTAATAAATCGAACCATTTATCTGACAGAGGCAAACTGGTTGCTGTACTTAAGATTCTAACATGTAACTCCAAAACATAACTATATAATTGGAAAATAATAAAGTCGACTGCATGATTAAGAATTTGCTATGACCATTATACTCAAATAGCTCTAATGTTCCTTGATAGCCCAGTCCTGGAAAATTTCACATTAACATGCTGGACACTAAAGGAACCTGCTGATATTTAATTGTTCATCTAGCTATACAGTCTTAACATATCAAGATCTAAAACTGCTTAATGACCCTTTTGTGCCTAATATTTTTGTTGTTGTTTGGCACTGGGAGGGGTAGCCAGGCACCCATCTTTGCAGCTGGGAAAGTCCCTGGCAATCAATCTGCCAGGCAGATCTGGTACTGCTTACACCGCCTTCCTTGTTCCACCAGGAAGATTTCTTAGATGCAAACTCGTCTACAGGAAGGATGAGATGGCGAATGGCACGGCCAGTGGTGTCTAGCAAGAGGATGGCATTACTCTGTAAATAAAGAAAACAGTATGAGATTCAAGACCTGCTCCCCGGCCCGCCCCCCATAAAAAGCAGCAGTGGCCAGGGAATGAAGGGTACTGTGACAACCAAAGTGAAGACAATGATAATGAAATGTAAGATATGAGGACACTCAGTGATCTTAATATACAATATGAAGTTTTGGTTAATTTACCAGTTTTCTAATTAGGTAAATAGGTCACCTTCTCTCTGAAAGTTGTCTTAAAATCAAAGGTAGCTGCGCTGGTTCTGTTTGTTATAGTCACAAGGAAACTGAGGATACACTTGGGGTGGGAGAGACGGCTCAGCAATTAAGAACACCGGCTGCTCTCACAGAGTAACTAGGTTTGATTTCTAGCACCCACTTCGTGATGCACAACTGCTTGTGAAGATTATTTCACAGCACCCCAGTTACAGGGGATCCAATGCCTACATCTGGCCTCCATAAGTACCAGGTGTGTGTGGGCATGCGCGCGCGCGCGCGCGCGCACACACACACACACACACACACACACACACACAGTACACATACCTATGTGCAGAACTCACACACATACAAACAAATCTTTGAAAAGGAAAAAAAGATAACAGTTAAGAGTGCACTCTTGCATGGCTCTCAGTAAACCTTGTTTATTCTTTCCATAGATCCAGGTTCAAATTAGAAAACATGTACATGACAGAAAAACAGGTTAGCAACAGTGTACAACCTTGTGAAAACTAAGCTAGTAGTGGTGAATCTTGAAATTCACCGAAGTTGAAAGTGAGGCTGAATAGAAAGACAGGGGAAATGCCTGACGGTACAGGAAAAAAATGGAGGTCTCACTCCAGAGTTTGGCTTGAAGCTTCTTGCTAGACGATAATCAAGGATTCTAAGTGTACCTCCTGTAGAAGCCCAGTATTTATCCCTAGCATAGGTGTGGACTTTGGGAGCCCAGTCCATATAGAGGAATACTCCCTGAGCCAAGACACACAGCGGTGGGCCTAGGCCCTACCCCAAAGGAAACGAAAGGCTCTGATGACACCCGATGGAAGGCCTCACCATCCAGGGGGAGCAGAAAGGATATGTGACAGATAAGGTTTTAGTTGGGGGGGCGGGTAAGGGAGGACGGATGGGAGAAGGGAACTGGGATTGTCATGTAAAACAATCATGTTTCTAATTCAAATAAAAAAGTTGGAAAAAAAAGAATTCTAAGTGTAGCATGGCACACACATGTGTATACATGCACACACACACGTATCCACTCACAGACAATCGCGCACACACACAGAGCATTTAAACAAAAGCACCCCTGCCAACAGCAACAACATAACCGCCCCCAGCTTCCATATTGGCTGGTCCTGAAACGGTTTTTGTGGTGAAGTCCAGGATGTGGCATTATCTGATGGGAGCTCTTCAACTAGAACTCAGTTTGTGGGGAGTGGCAGTGTACAGCTATGTCTCTGGCCCTGCCACCCACGGAACTTTCATTACTGTTGCTACAATACCATACAAACAAGATTTCTGTAACGTCATTTAGATCTGTGCTGCCAAGGGCCCAGGTATTGGGCACAGCCTGGCTGGCAGGCAGACAAGGAGCAGAGGAGCTAAGAGGACTCTTGTTCTTTTAATTTAGATATTTCAGATGCTGACCTCCGGGTCCTTCTCACTCTGTATGACAAAGCCTCAGTGGCTTTTGTTTTTTTGTTTTTTTGGTTCCTCCAAAAAGAAGGGAACTTTTCTGAGGAAGGAACTTTCAGACCTCGAACTGGAGGCTCCTGTGTATTGTTTACATATCTTCGTAACATCCAGTTTTACCTGTGATCACTCAAGCAGTCAATTCTGAAGGAGAAATGGAACTCATCCCATCCAAAACATACACAATCCTTACCTCTAAGTAGAATGGGACACCATCTCCAGGACCCCTCCCTATGCTGGGGGTGTGTCAAGAAAGGAAATAAACCCTAAATATTGAACTTATGACTAGAACACATGAAATAAGGATTTAAAATTGAGAAAGCTAGAAAAAACTAAACATTTTCAAGGACAGCAAGGAAGCTGTGTTTTCTAGCTAAAATATAAAAGCAAGCCACTGAGTAAAAAGGACATCTATAAATTAAGTCTCATTGTTTCACAACAGTACAGCTTTCTTTCTTTTAATTTGGGTCTAGTTGTCCTAGTCATTCCAAGTTCTTAAGAGAAAAAGTAACAAAACACCCAATGACAACAGACATTTTATAAGATGCAGCAAACAATAAAATATGGTATGTTTGCTCCATTGTGCCATAATACCAATTAGATAGTTTATGTTTAAAGCAAGGGAGAATATAATCATGATTTAATCATGGCTCTGCCTTCTACTTTGCAATCTTGTCAGAGAAATAAGAAAGACAAAAATGTATTTTATAACACAATTTAATTAAATCACAAGAGTTAAAACAATATTTAGTTCCACCACAGAGTTTACTGCTCACAACATATGTTAATAAAACTCTAACTTTTCCACAAATAACACCTCTGAATGAAACTCCCTGAAAAGCAGCTGTGTCTGGCTGTGAACAAAAACTCCTGGAAGGAACATCTGTGTCTGCAAAGACTGATGGACTGACTGAAACCTCGTTACTGTGGAAAGACTGGAATTTTGTAGGCTCAGAGGCGAATTACTTGATCCTGGGCTAGTGTTAGCCTTCTGGGACAGCCATTCCTTGCCCAACTCTGTATCTGAATATTATCTCATGATAATAAATAAAAACCCTTAGAAGCTATTAACTTAGCAGAACACTAGCTTCTACCAATCCAAGAGCTAAGAGCATCACCAGGTAGCATCTAGACCTATAGAACAACTCCCCATCTCCCTGTACCTGCCTCTCTGGTGTACCCACCAATGTATTTTAAACTTGCCTTAACTCATGGCTTTCTTTGTTCTGTAAAACTATAAAACCTTTATGAAACTGCTTTCACACTGGCACATGGAACTTGGGGAAACCTAAATCTATGTTCCCAGGACATGGCCACTCATAATGGCTCCAGAATAATGTATCTTTTATCCCCTTTAAGATGACAGCTGAGTCTTTTACATTGACTTTTCCTAAACTTGTATCATTCTGCATAACATAATAATTGTCCAATAAGAACTTACATTAGACATATTCTTTAGAATGACACCTAGAACAAGAAGGGTTGTTTACTGGGCAGTGGTAGTACACAGGTGAATCTCTGAGTTCAAGGCCAGCCTGATCTACAGAGCAAGTTCTAGGACAGCCAGGGCTACACAGAGAAACCCTCTCTCAAGAAAAAAAGAAGTCTTGTTTACTGGTTTTTGAATGCTTTGAAAATGGTGGTGAGAGGAAGATTTTCCTCCTGAAAATGTAAATCAAGGGACGAGGACAAGTTCATCAAGTAAAGTGAAGAGCAGGGCATGGGTCCCTAGCATCCTCGTAAAGGCCATAAAAGCCAGGCATGGTGGCTGCTGTAACTCCAGCATGTGGGAGGTAGAACTGGGATTCCTCTGGCAATCTAGCCAGCTAGACCAGCTGAATGTGTGAGCTCTGGGTTCAAGTAAGAGACTCTGCCTTGATATGTAAGGCAGAGTGGGATGGAAGAAGACACTTGACATCAATCTAAGACCTAGACACATGCAAGCACAAGAATAATTAAAAAGGAAAGCATAAAACTTAAAAATTTACAAGGTCTCTGTTCTAGGTTAAATTCTTTTTGAGAAACTTTTAATAGAGAAAATGTTTCTTGCATGATGGACACATACAATTGTCATAAATCTGCAGTTCTTAAGCAATCTGAGATTAGGGGAAGTCCTAAAATAAAGCGTTCTCCCCTAAAGATGAAGAACAAGCAGATGATTAAACAGAATTCAGCATAGTTCCCATTTATCTTCCTTTTCTAGGTTCTAAAACTTGTATCCTCCTCACTGGGCATACGTGACCTGAGCACCGTCCTTGTTAAGTCACACACACACACACACACACACACGCACATGAGCAGGCATTTCCTAGCACACACATCCATAGCCTGAGTGTAATGCCCTGTGGGCTGAGAATGAGCTCTACCAACACTTGGCAGCAGGAGGGAGTTCTGTGGCTCCATCCTTTTAGATGTTAATGGCTTCCTTCTGTAAATGACTAATGATATATTTTGCCTGAGCTTAAAAATAGAATCTCACGTCACACATGAGTACAAGAAACTGTGGCTTTGGCACTGCTTGAGGTGGGGGAAGGGTGGAGAAGCAACTGAGCCATTTTATGATGTTTGTATCTGACTGGGAGAAGAGCAACCTCTGGATGACCTCCATGCCCCAAGTCTGAAACACTAAATGCTGTGCAGATGTCATAAATACACCCATGGGAACGGGGTGGGGGGGGGAGGCCTTTATTTTTAGTTTTCCTGTCCTCACTTAAGATTTTATTTTAGCAAGGAATTTTTGAACAACTTTTCCAACTGACCAGGAGGAGGCATCTACAGCAACACTTTATTTTAAAATGGTAAGGGACAGATTTGTGCCTGCACTCTCTCCCTTTCAATTTGGTCTTCAGTTCTACTAGAACCAGGAAGAAGGAAGTGGGGGCAGCCCATGGGCTAACCCTACTTGCTAAATTTTAGAGTTTTGTAGTACGGGGAGTGAATTCCCAGGCCTAACACCCTGACTGCACCAACTTATAAAAGAATCTGCTGGATAGCCCCTGTGAGGAGGGGGAGGGATGGGCACTTTGAGGAAGCTTGCAGATACTTGGAGGTCCGCTCAGGATGCAGAAGTCAGACTGGGTCCGAGAAGGCCCAGAGGCTCTGGCTGCAGGAGGCAAGCACAGCTCTGCAATGCAAACTGTATTTCCTTGATGAAAGTCATTGTCATTGAACAGAGAATTAGTCTACAATGTTGCCAAACAATTGGGTCTTCTGAGAAATAAACCGGCGAGCTGAGCATCTCAAAACTCTAATAGTTTTACAGAATGTGTGTGTGTGTGTGTGTAAATTTATGTTAATGTGACAAGCTGAAAATCTGGTGGGACTGTTTGAATAAATACTTCAAATTTTGAGTCTCATCCAAACTTGATTAACTTATTAAATTCAAATTCACCCTGCCAGGTGCTTTCTATGGTGGATTCTTCTGGTTGGGAAAACAAATCAATGGCTTTGATATTTTATAGGAAATCTATAAAGCCGGAGCCTCCTATCTTGATGGAGATAAACTTTCATGAGCAACATCTGGCTGGGGATGAACTCTGCTTCTAGTAGAAAGCAGTGGAAACAATCATGAAAACTAAATGAGACAAAGACAACAGCATTTAGAATTGTTGGCAAGAGCAAAAGTGTTCATTTCTGCCGTGAACTATGGACATGCTATTTAATGTTCTTCTCGATTAGATACATTATAAAAGTATTGTTTTTACATGTACACATGGGATACACGTATGTAAGTATTCCTGTGAACACGTGCACATGGGTGTGTTTTGTGTGTGTGTGTGTGAAGGTAGAGGTGTATGTGTGAGAGAAGGACAAGAGGAGGAGAGGAGGGAGGGGAGAGGGAAAGGGGGAGGAGGGAGAAAAAGGAGGAGAGGGGGAGAGGGAGAAGAGGGAGGGGGAAAGAGGGGAGGAGGGAGGAGAGGGAAGGGAGAGGAGAGGAGGGGGAGAAAAAGAGGGAAGAGTGGAGAGAGGGAGGGGGAGAGAGGAGGAGGGGGAGGGGAGGGAGGAGAGAGAAGGGAGGGAGGGAGTAGGGGATAGGAGAAGGGGGAGAGAGAAAGAAAGAGAGAGCCAAAGGTTGATATTGGGTGTTTTCTTCTATTGATCTCCACCTTAGTTTCTGAGGCAGTCTGTCACTGGACATGGAGTTTATCAATTTGATTTAGTACAGAGGCTGGCCAGCAAGCCTCCGTGATCCTCTCGACCCCTCCTCAGTGTTGGGATTTCAGGCATGCACAGTTGCACCACGTTTTTCCATGAGTTCTAAGGATCTGAACTCATGTCTTTTTTTTTTTTTTTTTTTTTTTTTTTTTTTTTTTTTTGAGACAGGGTATCACTATGTAGTCCTGGCTGTCCTGAACTCTTGATGTAGACCACCAGGCTGGCCTTAAACTTGTCTCTGCCTCTGGAATGCTGGGATTAAAGGTGTGTGCCACTATATCTGGCTAGGTCTTCATGCTTATTGCAACAAACACTTTACTGACTGAGCCACCTTCCCAGCCCTAAAGTATTGTTTCAGTTAGTGGCACTGCTTTTGTTTACTGTTTTCCTGTTATGAATTCTTTTTAACATTACATTCATTTAGTGAGTGTATGCTGGGTACACGCACATTCACATGTGGTGTGCCATAGTGTGTGTGTGTGTATGGAGGTCAGAAAGAGGACAACAGCAGCAATTGCTCCTCCCTTTCTTCTATGTGGGTCCTCAGGATCAAACCTAGGTCACCCAGGTTGGCAACAAGTGTCTTCATCCATTGAGTCATCTTGCTAGCCATGTTATCAACTGTTTTGAAATTTCAACCTACAATACTCTTGGCTCCAAACATTAGCAGTGAGGGTAAAGTGCTTGTCCGGCATGCTGAAGGCACTGTCCATGAGAAAACATGTATCAACATCGAACGAGTGGGAGAAGTTGAATTCTGGGAGGGTTGGTCCTGTTTGGTTGGGTCTCAGTCCTATTACATAGTCACTGGGAAGAACAAACGCTCTAAGTCTGCTTTTCCCCACTGGGCAGCTGGGAGAGCTGTGGAAGTTGGCAGATGTCGTGCTTCTCCTTGCTGGACACTCCACTGCCTTCTAGGCCTCCACTGCAGCGCCCCCTGTCTGTTCCTGCTGGTGGTGCCTTCTCATCTCCACTATCCTAGTATTTCAATCTCCAGGGCTCAGACTGCTCTCCGCACACTCACTTCCTCGGTGGCCTCTTTCAGTCTCATGACTTTAAGTAACACACACATGCCAATGACTCAAGCTTAGGTATCTCCTTCTCACCACTCCACTGAACGCTATGCGAATCTTCTACTTGGTGGCTAACACACGTTTCACGTTTAATGCAGTACTTTCCAGGTTCCTGTCTCAGCTGACTCCCTTCCTCATCTTGGTTGATGGGAACTCCATTCAAATTGCTCACCCCTAAATTTTTACATGGCCTGTAACTTCCTCTTATGGTGTGTCTGCTCTGTTAGCAAATTCTGCAGACTTTACTTCAAAAATGCATCTAGGTCTACAATCACTTATGGCATGTATCCTTCGCCAAGTCACCAATATGGACAGCTCACTCCAAGAAACTCTTAACTGGCTCCTTCATTCTGCCTTATTTCACAGCTCACACAGAACAACCAATGAAATCCCTTTATGACATGAAAGACTGTGTTGCCTGCTCATCCCCCTCCAATGCCTTCCCTTTTGCTCTTAGGGCCCAGAACATCCCGTTGCCTACAAGGCTCTGAGCAATCTGCTTCCCACCACCTCCTCTACTTCACTTCTGCTCCTACTTACTGAATAACCTTTCTGCTTCATCTCTTCTCACTCCTGCCTTCACTCGATCTTTAGAAAGGCAGAGGGAATGTTCTAGCCTCTGGGATTCAGAACTTATCATTCCCTTTGCCTACACTTTTCTCCCCCAGGTTTCCATTCTCCTGTCTACCTCTATCAGGCTGGTCAGGCCATGCTGTCTGTCTGATTTTAAATTTCTCTTGATTGTTACTCTCTAAGCCAAGATACAATTTAATTAGCAATTTATTTTCTTATTGTCTATCCTAGACCAGATAATAAACTGAGAATAAGAATATTTGTTGTTGCTGGGCAGTGGTGGCCTTTAATATCAGCACTGAGGAGGCAAAGGCAGGTGGATCTCTGAGTTTGAGGCCAGCATGGTCTACAGAGTGAGTTCCAGGATAGTCAGGGATACACAGGGAAACCCTGTCTTAAAAAAACCACCCCCCCACACACACACCCATAGAAAAGCTAGCTAGAGAGATGAAGAAAATTTATCCCCTTTATGTGTGTGTGTGTGTGTGTGTGTGTACTTGCATGAGTTTATATGTATAATGTTTGTGCTATGGCCTGGAGAGGTCAGAAGAGAACACTGGATCCCCTGTAATAAGAGTACTAGGCAACTGTAAGCTGCCCTATTGGAAACAGGTCCTTTGTAAAAGTAAAAGTGCTCTTAACTGCTGAACCATCTTTGCTGTTTCCTGCAGTGTCCCCAGCAGTACACAAAGGATTTGTACAATGAATACTATGCCTTGTACAACACCTGGTATATGTTAGGTAGAAAATAGGCACATAAAGCCAGACCACTTTCTGTTGGTATAGTGCTGATTAATTAGACCTTTAGAATTTGCAGTAATTGAAACATAACTGTTCCTTTGATCTGTGTCATCTGTTTGGAATTACATTCAGCCTGACGCTAGCTAGGCATCTGTACTTTTCATTAATGAGATCTTCATTTACTAAGCCATAAACATGATGGATAGAACTTAAGCCTTACCGCACACAAGGATTGCAGTGTGCTTCATCCAGTGGACTTATGTGGCTACCTCTGAAGAATGTCATTTAGGTCTCCTCTGAGGAGAGACCTTAGCCCTCCTTTAGTGCCACCACCGTCCTAGCCTATTCATCTCCATCACCCTCTCTGACGTCACTTGGTCACTTGCTTCTACACAACCTGAAAGTGGTGGGCTTCTTTGCTGCCTTACTAGTTTTCTGTTTCTCTCTCTAGAAAAAGACAGCTTCCTAACTGTCAACGGGGGCAAGGTGGAAAACTGCCTGGTGACCTCTTTCCAGACTGGCAAGTTGTGTTTAAGGTTCTACAGAGAGAAGACAGTAGTAGTGCATCTTTGTGGTACTGGGACAGTGTGACCCCGGCCTTCGAGGCACTGTTCTGGATCTTTCAAAGGCACAGGTTTTCAGTCATAGGACACTCGACTTTTCCTTCACAGAACTCACTCTTCCCACATTGGTACCTCCTGAGGGCCTGGTGTGCTTACCTGCTCCTCATGCAGAACAACTTGACCCCTGAGCGGACTTCCCAGTGGTGCTACTGTCACAAATGGTCGCCAGGCTCCACTGATCATTCTCGGGAAGATGTCAAAGAAGTCCACAAAGAAGCCATTTTTCCCAGTTAAATTCATAAAGTATAAGGAAATGGGATTGCATGCAGCTACATACAGAGTGTGTTCCCCATTTTCTGAAATGACAGAAATGGATTAATTGTGCAGTTTCCCAACAGTTTTCTGATTGGCTAAGAGTTCTAGCACTGCTGAGCTCTTGAGCCTGAGCTAGGTCAAAGCTCAGCACATGGCCTTCAGGTCTGTCAAGGCTGCAAAGACCACAGGAAGCTGTCCCGCACAGGTGTGGGCTTTCACAAGTGCCAAAGTTCAAACTTTATCTTGGACTCTGTTTCTCATTACCAGTTAGTATAACATGCCCTGATAAGGGCACAGATCCTTACCACAAACAATACAATCCCCTAAATATCTTAAGGCATACATGTATTCAAAATAGTGGACTTGGAGAATGAGTAATATCTGCAGAACTTATAGGAACAAAAACAAGGTGCTGACTTTCCCTTCCATCTCAGTCAAGTTAGTGAGGCCCCTCCCTTCCCTCAGCTGCCACTTTCCATCACTATAGTAACTGACATCAACTGAGGAACTGCCGTCCAAAGGTATCCAGGATCCATTGTATGAGCTAGCCAGTAATGGTACCAGTCCAGAAGTCTAGAAGCTCACAACCCCCTTGCTCTCCCTGCATCCCAGACAATCAAAGGTTTAATGATGGCACGTCACTCTAGGCCTCACTGCTGTGCTTTATGCAATCACCAAACTGGAATCTGAGGCTCCCTCCCCCAAATCCAATGTTTCTCCCTTTTTCTTCTTCCCTTCTATTTTTAGCACATGCCTGGGTGTGTTTAACTTTGTGCTAAGACTGTAATGAGAAACAGACGTATGCATACCAACTCAGCAGTGCTTATGTGGGGTCCACTGTAGCATTTTGTGAGATTGTTAGAGGAAATTAGATCTAAATTATATATAATTGCTATCCAGATCCACCAAGTCACCGAGTCTCTCACAGGGTTCTTTATGTCTCAGGATTGTTTTAATCCCTCTGTTTTTAAATCAGTGCAGGAGGAAAAGATCAAAAGAATAAATGGATGTACCATGTGATACAGCAATGTCGCAGATCAAATTAACTTCATCCAGTGGAAACCTCCAAGAGACATACTCTTCGGTGAAGTTTAGGAATCTGGCTTCATGCTTTTCTATTGGGTACTCTTCTATGTTTGCAAGCACTGGACCCTACAACAGAGTGACAGTCTCAGTGAAGATGCTTGGGTAGTTACAGAACAGTTCTTCCAATATAGAATGCAGATTTCAGTATTTACTATCTTGACATACTCCACGTTATCATACTTGAAACAATAATGAAACCATACAGTTACCTTCATGAGTGCTTTCCAAACATACTAGCTCCTTAGATTTCTCAGTTGCTTTTGTTTTAATGTGGTATACACCATGTGTAAAGTATTATAAGATTTCAAATCATGACTGCACTTTTTTCCTAAACCAAGAACTGGTTCTGACCTCCAAATAGCATGACCCAGAATTGTTCAAACCAGCAGAATAACTTACAAATGAACAAGCTAATATATTTCTTTAGTGAAGGATGAGTGTGAAATCATTATTCTGAAATGTGATGGTGGAAGTGAACCTTTTAAATGAAATGTTAAAAATGTGATATTACAACAAATCAAAAAACCTTCAAATGACTGATAATCACTAGTGCTACTTATGAAAGGTGGAATATTTCATATGTAGCTATAATCATTCAATATAAAGACAAGCAAAGGGACTAACTTAATAATATTGTGAATATCAGTTCTGGATAGCTAGCTATGACTTCCTGGGAGAACCCTGTGTGTACAACTAAAGTCAGAACTCACTCTCTGATTTCCTAAATGCTACTTTAGTGGAAGAAAACATCTTTTTATATTCTACCATAACTGTTATTGCATTAAAATGACAGAATTTTGTAGTTACAACAGAACCTTTACTGACAACAAAAATCTATCATATATTTTTGCCATTTACAGGCATATTGACTGTACTGTCTGTGTAGATCCCAGCAGTGAGGAGAGGAGCAGACAGAGGAACATCTGTTTTAAAACAGTGAGTGCAGTGCGCCCCTGACTTCTGTTCCTGCTGCCCCTTTTAATGAGTTTTTAGATACCTAACCACCCAGAGGGAGCTCTTCATATTTGAGTGCTCAGAATGATTTTGATGACAAGTAATGACAACTAACCCATTCCCTTTCACAGGAAGACAGTATGGATAAAGTCTGGCTAAAATTAGAAAAGTAAAACAATTTAATCTTGTAAGCAAATACAAAGTAAAGACAAATACCACAGAGTAACCTTTTAAGGAAAATATACAGTATACCCGACTGACTCTCCTGAAACACAAGATTGGCTCCTAGAAATTCTGTTTGGTCAATAGCAACGGCCTACATTGAATTCCTTTGGGGGGTCAGACTGACCTTGAAGTTGGCACTGAAGCTAAAGAGCCAAGCACTTGGTAAGTCATTCCTCAAACTTATGGAGTGTATCTACAGAAGGTTTGAAAAGTTTCTAAGATTGAATGTTAGGAGAAAATAAGGGTAACAACCTTTATGTCAATGTGAGACGTTTGGACTGGACACAAGATCTTTTGCATCCCATTTCCCGCCTGACCAGTAATCCAGTAGCCCATGAATGTCTGCTCTGGGAGAGGCAACCTGTCAAAGATAATTGGAAAAAGTAAGCATTTTTTCCCCCAATATCAAATGTCTTAGTTACAGTTACTACCACTGCAATAAAACTCCATGACCAAAGCAAGTTAGGGAGGAAAGGGTTTATTTGGCTTATCCTTCCATATCACTGTTTATCATCAAATAAGTGAGGACAGGAACTCAAAGAGGGCAGGAACTTGGAGTCAGGAGCTGATGTAGAGGCCATGGAGGGTGCTGCTTACTGGCTTGCTTGGCCTGCTTTCTTAGAGAACCCAGGACCATCAACCCAGGGACGGCCCCACCCCCATCAGTCACTAATAAAGAAAATGCCTACAGGCTTGTCTACAACCCAATCTTATGGAGGCATTTTCTTGTTGAGGCTCCCTCTCTCAGATTGACTTTTGCTTGTGTCAGGTTGACATAAAACTAGCCAGCACATCAAGTAAGGGGGAAACATATGTACCATCTATCACCAGCAGCTCACATACATTTGAAAAATGCTTTTCTTTTGTTTAGAATGCAAGCCATAGCATCATGTTTAGAATGTACATTGGGATGAAAAAGACACTCAGAAAATGAGACTCTGCCCATTTCACCTTAATGACAACTATAATAAAGGTTAACATATTTTCCACTGGAATTGATAAAACTTTACATGCAGATTCCTGGTATAGTATAGGACAGCTCAAAAGAAATTGGAGCAATTCATTTCATTTCATTTTCAGTCTGTTCTTTTACATTTTGAATCAAGTAACAACCAGGGTGCATTAGTATTAGACCCTCGTTGGACAGCTGTAAAGAAAAACCTTACAGATGGTTGTTTGGTGATTAATATGTAATACACACACAGAAATGTTCATATAAATGTGTCACTTAATTTTTTTTATCTTAATATGTAATACACACACAGAAATGTTCATATAAATGTGTCACTTAATGTTGAATATACCCTGTAGCCAGTAACCAAAAACCAGGATCCAGAAGCCCCTATTACACATTTCATTGCTACCAAGGAAGCTACTACCTGACTTTTGATAGAATCACTTTGTATTTGCTTTATTTTGTTGAAAGAAATACAACTTTTTGTTTTGCAACAGGATCTTTCTATATAGGCCAGGTTAGCCTTGAATGGACTCCCTCAGTCTTTCAAGTACTAATCCTTCAGGCATGTGACACCATGCCCTTCTACAGTAATTTTTCATTTTTGGAGACACAATCCTGTCGCATAGTCCTGGCTGGCCTAGAAGACACTATGTAAAACGAGGCTTGCCCCTGACTTGTGACACTCCTCCTGCCTCTGCCTCCCAAGTGCTGGACTTAACAGACAGGCAACACTGCATCTGGCTTAAGCAGTTTTGAAGAAAAGTGATGATTCACTTACTAAAGCAAATATGGCAGCAATAAAGTATAAAATGGCAGGCAAACCTGAGAATAAAGCTCCCACTTCTTAATCCCAAGTATTTCTACTTCAACCTTTAAAAAAAAAAAAAAACAACAAAAAACGGGACCACTGATCTGTCATTTTCGTTTAACCATGTTTCTTATCCATGCTATTACACCACCCACCACAACAACTTAGGGTTTAAAGTTGTTGATGTGGCCATAACTCAAAATTGTTTAGAATGAGTTTAGGGCTCATTAACAGAGTATGTATTTGTTCTTACAAGTCACTTTCTTTTCAGTAGAGTTGTGGTCTGCCATGCATTCCCATAAGCTTAGAAGATCTATATAGTTTTGATTACTCTTTGCACAAGACAAGGAGCTAAACACTCTGGTCATGAATACATTTTGTCCTCTTTGAAACATAAAAGGAAGGAAGGGACCTTACAGTGTCTTCTAAGGCACATGACACTGTGTCACATCTTTCTTAAAAGGACACATTTGAATAAGTTATTTAAAACACTTTAAGGGGCTGGGACAACTCAGAGGTTAATAGCAATAGGTGCTTCTAGATTTAGGGTCCCATCATCCACCTTGGCTCACAATTGCCTCTAGCTTCATCTCTAGGGCATCCAATGCCGTTTCTGACTTCAACGGCCACTCTCTCCTCATACATATCAACAAAAATATGCAGATAAATCTTAACAATTTAAAAAACATATATTTTAAAAACCCAGATAATGACCTTGATTGAGAGTAGGGGGTGGCTGGGACAATGTTGAATTAGAAGACTATGGTGTGCTCTTTTAAATAAAGTAATAAAATGTGTTTCTATGTTAATAGGGGAGATCTCCCAGAGTGGGATCTTCTCTCTTCTAGTTTAGGGAATAAACTGTATTCTCCAATTGTTCACCTAACTTCACTGGTCTCCAAATATAGAAGGAGAAACATAAGGAATCACATTAATTTCTTTCTTAGCACACTATTGGTAAATGCAAAGAGATCTGGGTTTCATTCCCAGTTCTCTTATTAGCCACCTATGAAAAATTGGAAAATGAATTCCAGTAATATCTCAGTTAATTTTGTCATTTACAATGAAGGGCTGATCTATAGATTCTTTAAGGCTTGGAGATCTGTGACAATCATCCAGTGAGAAGAAAGAAGTATCTGTGTAGGTTAAGGGCTTGCATTGCCTTGGTTCTCTGGTGTGAAAGTGGTCAATCAGAATGAAAATATCTCTACCTGCTGGGTAGTGGTGGTGCATGCCTTTAAACTCAGCACTTGGGAAGCAGAGTCAGACTGATCTCCAGGTTCAAGGCCAGGCTGGTCTACAGATTGAGTTCCAGGACAGCCAGGGCTACCCAGAGATACCCTGTCTCAAAAAACCACAAAGAGAAAAAAAATGTATTTGTCAATCATATGGGCCCCTTGGTCAATAGGTATGCTTTCTCTCTTTTCTTTTTTTCTTTCTTTTTCTTCTTCTTCTTCTTCTTCTTCTTTTTTTTTTTTTTTTTTTTTTTTTTTTTGGTTTTTCGAGACAGGGTTTCTCTGTGCAGCTTTGGAGCCTATCCTGGCACTGGCTCTGGAGACCAGGCTGGCCTCGAACTCACAGAAATCCACCTGCCTCTGCCTCTGCCTCCTGAGTACTGGGATTAAAGGCATGCGCCACCAACGCCCGGCATAGGTATGCTTTCTTAAAGAATAAAGAGGCTTTAAATAGTTCCACTCATTTGAAGACAATGATTTCACATCTTGATCTAGTTATGGGTAGAGTACAACTTAAAATAACCATTGTTGATAACCCAGCATAAGAAATGCATCCAGGGGTAGGGATATATGAAGCAAAGCTCTTGGCTTGATATTCAGCATTTGAAAAAAAAACCAGTATATTCACTAATCATTTTATAAATAATAACAGATGCCAAATAAAAAATTCCATCCATTTGAGAAAAGGTAGTTTTTCTCACATTCCAGTTATTACTAGTGACACCAGGGATTTCTATAACTTTGCTTAGAAGTTGCCAAGTCGTTCTAAATATCAGTCATGGAACTCAAGGCCCGCCTAACTATCTGAAAAAATGACTGTCTGATTGGCTGGTGGAGTATGGGATTGACCTGTAGATGCTCCATATAAACAGCATCCAAACCCACACAACAACAATATTCTTCTATGGGCAGTATCAAGTACAGTTGTCCTGGGCTTGCACACACTGACATCATCCCTGATCCCTGGTTGCTCCTGGACCCTGACAGTAGTTGGGAAACTCTGTGTGTGTGTGTGTGGGGGGGCACACCATTCCTAACTTTCTTCCTTTCAGTAGGTTAGCAGTCAGAGGAGGGAGAAACACGTGCTTGGGATCAACAAAGTGCTGGGTGGGTGGATGTACCCTGATAGGCAGTTAGCAAAAAGGCCTCCTTCTCCATTACTGAAATGTGGTACCCAACTCTGAGCAGATTTAAGTTTTTATGGTTGATTTGATTGACACAATAATGACATTTTTCATGATTTTAAGATTATGTCAAAAAAAAAAAAAAGATTATGTCACTGTGCTGTTGAACTGTTTTAATGTCCTGGTTGGAATGATGTCTGGCTTTGATTTTAGAGGGGAGGAGCATGAACTCAAGACCTACAAATAGAATCACTTTTTATTTTCAGTGTCATTCATGAATTTATGTGTTTTAAAACAATGATATATTTTAGTACTTGTGTTGTGATGTTTCTTAATCCCTTGTGGAAGCAGTAACAAAGATCTAAGAGTTTTAAGTAAGAGAAAGGTACATATAAAAATTATGACTTGGGTCAAATTAGACTATTTGAGCATGTTAGAGAGAGGAAAAAGATTTGCTTTTTTTAAACACACAGACAATCCATAACACGATGCATATGGACACCAAAGTTAGGTAACATCATCTAAACGACATGCAAGAGCTTTGCCTCAGAAAACCTTCCAAAAAGAGGGGGGCTGGGTTTTTAAAGCACATGTTCTGGCAAATTACTGCCTTCTCTGAACCTTTGCCAACACTATTTCTGGAGTCTGAAAGAAAACACATGAAAAAGATTTGGATCTTTCTAGGGCCATTATGCAATTGGGAGTTGTTGACATACCTATTATCAACAATTCCTGTGGCATTTCCTTACCATGAGAACTATTAATGCTCATGGAATAATGGAACTCTTGAGGGTAGTTCCACCATCTCAAAAACCCAACAATTACTACCATCCTTGAGAAGAAAGAGAGCGACTCTGATTGTACTGGCTCACTCATTCCTGACATCTTTCGCAGAGCTTTCCTGACAAACACTTTCTGCTTGGCTCTTACCGTTTCCTCTCACTCTAGGCCAATCTGTAATTCAACCCTACCTTGAACTACTTTTTGCTATTCCCTGGACATATGCATTTTAATTCTTCTCCAAGGCCATTTCCTCTCTTAGAATTCCATTCTGCACCTGCCTCTTCAGTGAGCTATTTCCCTGTCTTGGAGACTGGGTCTCATGGAGTTAGCTTTGAACTTAACTATGGAGCAGAGGAAGATCTCGAGTCCTAATCTTACTACCTCTACGTCCCAAGTGTTGGAACTGCAGGCATGCACCATCACACTCAGCTTAGAGATGTGGCTCCTTAAGCT